AGTAAACACTAGTCATTGAAAATTGTATGGCCACTTACATTATTTGCAGTATCACCATTTCTCAAAATTGCATCAACATCATGCAATGTAACATATACTCCATTTCCTGTGCCGGACCATATGATTGCACTAGTCATAAGGTAAAAAAAATGTTGATTAACACATTGCAGTTTGATAATAGTAAAAATCTGTTGTTTGATAAAATTAAAATGGTCTTACTCTATGGTTTCCAAATTGTAAATCTTGCTCAATAGACACTTATCATTCTCATCAAGCAATTTGCATATTGCAACCTTATTTGGAAACAAAACCATTTCAACTGGTTTTGGTTGGCTTAGAGGCAAGTTGTCAATACAAATCACTTCACTTGATATCACTTCAATTGCTTGTTTTGTGGTCTTTTTTTTCTTTGCCTTTCTTGGCTTACATTCAAAATCAGAAATCTATTTTTTCTTCCTCACCTTGATTTTGATTTTAATTTTCTTGACCATGGATATTTGCAATGGCTCTATGACTACAAGTGTTTCTTTCAATGTAGTTTGAATCCTAAAGTTTTGCTCTTGTTCTACTCCTTTAACATGTGGCATTTCTTTAGAAGCAAAAGCTTGGGTAGCCGCATGAACTACATTTTCTTCAATCCGTTCAACCAACTGTTTATTTTCAGAGTCGAGTACTTCAAACTCCTTTCTCAGTTTCTCCATTTCTTTCTTTGTATTGCTCATCTTTTCCATTATTTCTTTTGTTTTTGCCTCTTGATCCTCTTGTGTTTTTTGCATTGTTTCCCTCATTTTCTTCAATTCTTCAACCAATGCCATATTCTCACTTTTCAGCCTCTTGTTTTCTTTTTGAACTCGTTCTAATTTCCCAAGATCAATGAAGTCCTTCAAAGGTTGATCATCTCCTAAAGCTTCAGCTACATGATCTTCATCTTCTCTAGTCTTTAAATTTTCCTCTATGTCTAATGCATCTTTTTCCTCATAATTGTGAATGAGTTTCATTTCTTCTTTGGAAATGGACTTCAGTTCATTGTGATTCACTTGTTTTTGAAAAATAGAAAAAGAAAAGAAGTCAACAATGAAGCAAATTTTAACCACAAGAGTAAGTAAAATTTTACTCTGTTTCAAAGTAAAAGGTTACTTTGATCGTAAGTAAACTTTAACTCTGATTTAAAGTAAAGTTTTACTCTGTTCAAGAGTAAAGTAAGCAAAATTTTACTCTGTTTCAAAGTAAAAGTTTACTCTGATTGTAAGTAAACTTTTACTTTGATTTAAAGCAAACTTTTACTTTGTTCAAGAGTAAGTAAAATTTTACTCTGTTTTAAAGTAAAAATTTACTCTGATTGTAAGTAAACTTTTACTCTGATTTAAAGTAAATTTTACTCTGTTCAAAAGTAAGTAAAATTTCACTCTGTTTCAAAGTAAAAGTTTACTCTGATTGTAAGTAAACTTTTACTCTGATTTAAAGTAAACTTTTACTCTGTTCAAGAGTAAGATTTTATTATGTAAGTATAATTTTAAGCAAAGTGAACCAGTAAGGTTGAGATTGGAAAGATGATACCTCTTTGGGCTTTAGGGTTTGCAATGACTTCTTCATCAGCTTTTTCCTCAACGTTGATAAGTCCCATTGAAGGAGTCTTGGACACAAATTTTTTCCTTTAGGTTGAATGCGGGTAGTGTGCTCGCATAACCAGTACTATAAAATAAAAAAACAAAATTAGTTAATTCTCTAAAGATAGATTGCGTAATATTTCAAGTAGTTCAATTTACTTACCAAAGAAGAAATACACATCCAGTTACATTTTCAGGACTTCCTAATGAAGACTGGATTAAAGTAGTCAATGTGGATGCAACTGCATTCGACCATGCATATGAATTCATCATTTCCAAATCTTCTACAAGGGCGACAAAAGCCTATCCAATTGTTAGACCAGTTGTTGGTAATAGTAAAGTTGTCACAACAAATAAACACATTATTCGTGCAACATCCTCAACATCAACTATCATTGTGCCTTCCAATGCATCTCCTAATGCCTCTCGCAAACTCTTTACAGACATTCTTGACATATTAAGAAACCTTCTCTGCACAAAAGGTGATTCTTGTTTCTTCCCATATGAGACGTCTACTTTTTTCGTTCTCGATTTTATCCCAAAAATCAAAGTAACGTCACTGTCCCGTATGTCATACGTTTTCCCTCCAAGCTTGAATCCCTTTGCATGAAAGTCATAAGACTTGATCACATCTATGACATTATCGTCAACTTTCTTGAACTTCTTTAACACTACATCTTCTTTCTTCCAAAAAGATTTGAACAACATCCTAAAAGGTGTTCTCTCAATGGCAGTAATGCGTCTTTCAGTAAACCTTGTGTCTCACATTAGGTTTATCAATGAAATAACATTTGACATATATTATTTCACGTAGTTCTCCCTCTCCCGTACTCCATGTACAATATTCGTCTTCGAAGGTTTTGTTGTTGAAGGCATTGGATTGCTTTCACTAGAGCCTTCATCATCACTAGCATTAGATTGAACTTTTTTACTACTTTTGTTTTTTTTTTCCTTTTCCAGGGACTTTGCTCTTTTGTATAGCCGCAGGTTGAACTTCAAAACCATCATCATCACCACATTTGCTTCTTGTAACAACCATTTTAGAACACAAAAAAGTTTTCCTATATCAATAGTGTAACATTTTACTTTAAAAAACAAAGTGACAAAACAATAAGCACTAAAGAAAATTCACAAACATTGTAATGAGACAGTAAAGTTTTACTCTATTTGGCAGTAAAACTTTGCTTTTATTGAAAGTAAAATTTTATTCTGATTGGAAGTAAAATTTACTCTAAACAATATACCCCTAGGAAATAAACAAAAAATACTTACAAAATTTCTAAAATCAAGAATCAAGAAAACCTTGTCTTAATTTTGACTATACGCAACTCAATTATGAACGTAACATGTACAATTCACATTCAAACCGAAATCAGAGAAATGACGAAACTACAATCACATTCACATACATAAATAGATACATATATATATATATATATATATTCATATACAAATTGATATGCACATTTATGTAATGAGCAAAAGCTTGAGAACACATACAACAAGAAATCAAGAGGCATTGATGAAAGCATAAAAATGCACAAAACATTGTAATGAAATAGCAAAGTTTTAAAGTAAAATTTTACTTTGTTTATAAGTAAAATTTTACACTCATTGTAAGTAAAATTTTACTCTGAACAATATACACTAGAAAATAAACAAATATATACCTATTTTCAATAACTACAGCCAACATTCATGAAGCAAGTGAAATTGAAAACATTGAATTTGCAGGACCAAAACACTACAGAAATCAAAGCAACGAAATTGAAGCAAAACTGCATACACCATTCCGAAATACCTAAATTAGTTTTCAAAATTTTTAAACCTTAACATTCTTACATAATTTAGTAATTTAAAGTGTTTTATGATAGTGATAAAAATTTTAGAACAAATGATGATCTTTAGTGTAACCAAAAATCCCAAACTCTACTCACCCTAATGCAACAATGAAAAAAAGAAAAAGAAAAAGAAAAGTGTATTAAAACACTTACCTCTGTATTTTGTTAGAATAACATTTTGTTATAAATCAAACAAAATCTTATATGTCAATAATTTCGAATGAACAATTTTTCAACAGTACTGATTCAACACACACATTACCAAAGGGTTAAGATGAAACAAGGATAAGTGGCGGCCATCTTTAACACGAAATCCTTAGCAGCTTTACAATCCCACCCTATACCATGCCAACGTAATCTCATACACCACTCCCAAAATGAAAACAAACCCAGACATACTTCATAATATCAAAAAACTAGCAGAAAGGAAAAAAAATCACTTGCAAAATGTGTGTCCAAGAGAGAGAGTAAAGCGTAATGCGGAGTTCGATTCGAGCGCAAGCGACAAACCTGTAACGTTGCAGGGGTAGAAAAACAAAGTAGCTTTAGAGAGAGAGAGAGTAATGAGACTCAAAGGAGGGTTTTCAATCAATGCTAGGATTTTCGAATGATGATATTCAGAGGAAGGTTTTCAATCGATGAAACAGAGTGAGGGAAGAGAAATGGTGGAATTGTTTCATATTTACCCACTTATATAGAGAAACGGTGGAATTGTTTCATATTTCTCCACTTAGTCTATTCATCATATTTTTTTAATTGAGGGGCTTTTAGGGCCATTGTTTTATTCGGTGGGCTTTACACAAAATAGGCCCAATGAGAGGGGTATTTCACTAAAAGTCCCTAAAAAAAATAAAGAAAAAAAAAACAATAGAAAAACCAAAAAATGCACAAATTTTGGTGGGTTGGCCAATTCATTAGGCTTAACCTACGAATGGGCTGCCCAACCTAATGCCAGCCCATTAATCAAAACAAAAAAAAAAATGATATGATGGTTTCAAACCACCAGATAACATGTCCTCAAAATGAGGTGCGTTGAAAAAAAAAATAGCCACCAATTCACATTTCATACAAGTTTAGCAACTTCCCCACATAATTAGAAATTTCGTCCTTTACAATTTTTCCAAACATAAAACTATTAATACATTCTTTATTTCTCTTTTCCCTCTTATGCAAATTAATATATATATTTTGAAATGACTAGAATATATACATGTAAAAATAACTACCTAAAATAGATATATATTGTATTTTTTTAAGGAGGTGAATTCCCTCCCGTCCATAATCTGGACTAGAGGGCGTTGTTTGGAAGCCCATTATAAGTTTCATTTCGATAATTCGAACTGTTTATTTATCTCCAATCCAAATTATAGACCAAGAAAAATCCAACAATTTTTTACTTCTACTAAATAAAATAACTAGCAATGTTGAATATTCTCTAACATCCTCAACTACCTCATTGAAATTGAAATATTCTTGAGGCAAACAAGATCAGAAAATGAAAAATATGAATTATATTTTTTATTATTAACATTTGCCTGAAATGAGATCAGGGGTCAGGTCACACATGAAAGTTCACATGGACCCATTAAAAATTTACAAGCAAAAATGTGACAATATTATAAAAGATGAAGAAAGATTTGAGTGATTGTTCAATGTGAATGAATGTGTAATTACAGTTTTCTTTTACAAATATGTATAGTAAAAAATATACTTATATATGTTTTCATAAACAAAAAAAACAAAAACAAAAAAAAAGAGTTTATAGGTCAGCAGCACCCACACCAGTTGTTGAACCAATCCCAACCTGCAACCATGGAGAGGAACTACCACTTATGTTCATGTCTTTCAGCTCACTTAATTTTGCTAATTTCACCTTACTCTCTGCTTCATCATCCACATTTTGCATTTCAATATTGTTATTATTATTATTATTATTATTCTTATTATATTCATTATCATTATTATTGTTGCTATTGTTCTTGTTGTCGTTTTCATTGTCGTTGTCATGATCGTTGTTATGATCATCACAATGATCGTTGTTATGATCATCATTGTGTTGGTGGTGTTGGTGGTGGCAGTGATCGGTGTACTTTTTTCCTTCTGCATCGACATCGATCCATGATTGTAAATGTATTTCAGTGGACACTTCAAAGCTCAACGGGTTTCGTGGGTCGCGCCTTATTCCGGTCAAATCATCACCTGCAATTGTTGTCGCCGGGAGGTTAAGATCAAGTGTGTCGGATTTACTGAACTTGGGTTTTTGATGTATGTGATTGTGATCAATTTGATGATGATCATGAAACTGATGGAATTTTGCAAGCGAAGAAGTCTCTGGGGAATTGGAAGTGATCCAGTGACACCTTTTGTGCCCTCCCAATGCTTGTCCTGACGAGAAAATTCTATGACATATTGAGCATTCATGGACTTTTGATTTCCTCTTGGAAGCTCCACCTACCGGAGAAATTGGACTGTGTTCGAGCAGAAAACTTGATGTGGATTTTGATGGGAGCAAGAACTCCTCTTGAGTGATCACATCGTCGTCGGCTAATCCGTCGTCGACGATGTGATCAAGCCGGGCTGCGAAGCAGCCCTTTACTTTCTTGTGGCTTGCCCTGTGGCCACCCAATGCTTGGTGGGAATTGAATACTTTTTTGCATGCTTTACATTCAAACATTCCTTTTGCAACTCCTTTTGCCTTTTCTGGGGGGGTCCGCGTGGAGAGCGGAGGAATAAAAGCTACTGGATTCCGTCGCTCCTCCTCCTTGCTGGCGGAGGCGCAGGACTCCTCTGGCTGATCCGCCGCCAACGGGTCAACCCTAGCATTCGATAACATAACCAGGCATGTGGCAGCAATGTCATCGTCTTCGCTTGAAGGACACATGGAATTGAAACTTCCCACTTTAGCCCTAAAAGATCTCTTCCTCTTTGACCATTGTTGACACCCCCTCCTCTCCTCGCCACCGCAGTCTGATCGCGGTGGCGAGGATACGAGGGACTCTGCATCATCAGAGCTACATTTTCCATGCTCAAGAAAAGATTTCCATGACGAAAACTCCTTCCCACAATTCTCACAAACCCTACAACTCTTTAACCGATTAGGGTTCGTCCTCAAAGCATACATCCGTTGTTTCGCCGGCACATTCCCTCTATCCTCCCAATCACTTGCCGGGTCATCATCGTCGATGTTTCCAATCTCATCTCCAATCCCATGAGCTCTCATGTGTCCCCCTAGAGCCCTCCCACACATAAAACCCTTCTTGCAAATCCTACAAAAGTGCTTAAAATTTGTTTGTTGATCCACCATAAGAGCCATGGATAGTGAACATACAAAAAAGAAAAGAAAAAGAGGAGAGAGAAAAATGAAAAAGTGAGTTGAGAGAATGGGAAGAGGAATGGGGGTGGAGTTAAATTGTTCTTGTGTTAGAACAAGTTGTAGGGTTGTATGGTGAAAAGAGGGTTAGTCCTGGTTTTTAGTTGGAGTATTGGTTTGTTGTGGATGGGAGAGAAATAGGAGAGAGAAAGAAATAGGAGTGAGAGTTGAGAGTGAGGGGGTGACAAGTGGAAGGACGGTATGAGGGTGGTAGACTTTTTCCACGGCCCTCTCCTGGTGGCGCCGCCGGTCAAACCAATCAACGGACGGCGGTGGATATATATATACATATACATATATATGGTGAGAGATAAAGAGTGGTTCTAACTGACAAACCTATTCATATCTCTTCAATTCTAAGCCAAGAAAACTATAACCATGCTTATTGCTTCTCCTTCTCTGTCGGTTGGTTCAATAAAGCTGGCTTTTTCTACTAATTATATCCATTTTAATTAATATATATATATTATTAGCATTATAATCTTCTAGTTTTGCCCTACTTTTTTTTTTTTTCAATATCAAGAAACTAAAATTCGGAAGGGACAGCTCATTTGCCATTTTTACATCTTTCATTCAAAATGTGGGATTAAAATAACTTATGGTTTTATTGATGTGGATGGACTGTGTGCAGTGTTAAATTTAGTGACATTCAAAATGTGGGTAATACTTATTGTGATTTACTTAAAATATAAATTGTTATTTATGATTTCAAAAATCATAAATATTTACTTGTCAAAAAAAATTATTTAATAGACTTAACTAAAAGAATAAAATTTTAACTAATCTCCTATATAATAATAAAATTATTTGAATTATTAATTGAAACAAATTTCTTGCATCATTAAAAATATTTAATTGACTTAATGATTTATTAATAAAAGGATTATTTATTACAATATTGTAAATTTCAAAGGACGGAATGTAATTTTTAGAACTATAAGGATAATTTATATTTTAAGTAAATCTCAAGAAATTTCAAAGGGTAAAATGAAAATTACACAAACAATTCCCCCCCCCCTCCCCCCACCCCCCCCCCTCCCCCCAAGTGTTGATATACATGTAACAAAATAAATCTTAAATTATAATTTTTTTTAAAAATTTAAATCCTAAACTTTAGATTTACTTTCAATTTAAACCATCTACCTATTTTTGTTAGTAAAATCGACGAAAAAAATGTTATTTTAGACATTTTAAATACACATACATTGAGTTTAATGATTAAAATATATATATATATATATATTTGTCGATTTTACTTAATGGAAATAGACTGGTGGTTTAATTTGAAAATAAATTAAAATAGTAGAGTTTAAATTGATAAAATTAAAAATTTAAGATTTATTTTGTTAGGAAGGTCAAACTCTAAGACTTTTTTGTAATTTTTTTTAGTACATTGGAGGAGGTATTATCATGGGGGAATTTTTTTTTTTTTTGGGTACATTTGTGTAGTGTCATTTTTAGATTCGTGGTAGAATTGCTTTAATACTTAACCCATTTACTGTTTCATATCAATTCAAATTCATTACACTACCGTTATTTCCCTGTACCAAACTGGTTGAAATCCATTCGAAACGATCCTCTGCTTTGAACACAAAATTATAGCATCTGACAGCTTTAAAATTACGAATGCAACACTCAATTCATGGTAGTGTATAAACACAAATTTCATATTCTGCAATTAAGGTACGAAATAAATACATAAATAATTAATTTTATTTAATTATAATAAATGAGGATAATCTTTTGTAGATTTGCTCTATTATAAAATAGTAGATCCTTTGATTCGATCTCAGAAATAGTTGCAATACAACGATTATAAAAACTTGTTGAACTAGACAAATTGATGAATTTCTTCAAGTCTTCGAATGGAGAAACTTGAAGAAAAGAGGCTTGATCAAGAGTTTGAATGGCTTGATCTCGAACGAGTCTTGAAATGATCTCTTTGAAAGGAGAAACCAAATTTGTATTTGTAACTTGAAATAATTGGTACAAATTTAGAGTGTTTGATAATCATCCATTTTAGGTTTGAAGAGTTTTAGAGAGAATTTAGCAGAGTGTGAGATAGCTTAAGAGCTTGCAAGACCTTTTGCCAAAAAAATTTGTTCCCATCCCCATAATGAGGGCCTTTATTTAGGATTAGGAGAGAATGGTTAATTTCGAAACTCCAAATTTAATTTTAATTTCCAAGAAAATAGAAATTTATCTCTTACTTTATAGAAATAATTTGCATTGAAATTTGAATTATTCTACCAGATTTTGACAAAATATCTTTATGGGCTCCACACTTTTGAATTGACTTAATTGTCAAAATAGGTTCACTTTTCATTTGGTACGACCCATAATTTAAAATGGATTGAGGTTCATAATTTTATTAAGACCCACATCCATTTGAAAATTTTGACTATCTTAATTTTGATTAATCAAGAAAAAATTATTTGTCTTAATTAATCAGATGGTGAGTAAGACACGTAAAAATTTAGATGTAAAGTGCTACTATCCATGAGAATATAACGTTCCTAATCGCATGAGCATAAACTGCATGATGCTCTTGGTCCATATGAAATAAAATTGTTAAAAAAAAAAAATTGTACTACTCCTGACCCGTATGAGTATAAACTGTGAACGGCTAATAAATCAATAAACCAAATGTGTTTTACAATAAGAGTATTTTGTTTCGAACTATAATATTTATTTCATAAATAAAGTGTTTACTGGAGCAATTATTTTATAATGAAGTATTTGGCTTCGAGCTACATGTCGTTAAAAAAAGTAAAATAATAATAATAATAATAAATAAATAAATAAATCATGGCAACCATGATAAACTTTGGATCTCGCCTTGCTCAACTTTTAGGGTTGTTCTAATTTGTTGGCGACATCAATATCCTTGTTTCTTATCACCTCAGTTGCTTCTATTGTAACTTGTTCTTCCTTCCAAGTCGAAACAACGGCTCGCCTTTGAACTACTTCAGTTTTGACAACGCTAATTGAAGTATCTAATTGTTGTGATTGTTCATCTAAATATTCCAACGCCTTTAACAAATATGCCTTTTTTGCTAAAGAGCTACCCAAATCGAACTTTAGTGAGTGAACCTGCTCAATTCCTTCATTCTCAAGAGCTAGAGCATGAGTAACACGTTGACTGACATTCGCCAAACGCTTATCTTGTAGCTCTGAAGTCATCCCTTAAGCAAACTCTGATTTTATAGATATATACGTAGTAGCATTTTGTACGTACTTCTCAATCTGGCTTTGTGATGGAAAATAGTCTATCTGAAGCTTTGAAAGCTCATCATAAAGCTCTTGGAGCTTTGGGCCCAATGCTGGAACTTTTTGAATAGGAGTTTTGCTTAATAAGTTTTTAATATGGTTATCAAGTATTGAAGCTACTAAGCAACGATCATTAAGGATCATGCTTTTTGTATCATTGGTAAAAGCTACAGAAGGTGCAACTTGACTCAATATAAGAGTAGTAGGAAAGGAAAAGGTTTGGATAATTGGAGTTGGGTCAACTGAGAGACAACTCTTATGACCAATCACTAAATCAAAGGTTGACGGTCCATGAACTGATTCTTTATTATCTGAGAGCTCATCAAGAAATCTCATGTCCTCATTGCCAAATGCCAAATCAAAGTCATCATTTGGCAATTGTCAAAACAAATTAAAGAAGTGTCATAAAAAAGAAAAAAAGAAAAAAAACACAATAAATTGAAATGACAAATAATAGATTTTGTCATTACCGGTACAACATTGGTAGCCATTGGTTGAGAAGTGTTAGGAAAGCTGATAAAAAATGACTCTACATCACTAAAAGTAGTGGTGTTTTTTCCAACAGTGCTGGTATCAGAGTTTCTCCCTAGGTGACGCCAATTACGATCACCAATACTATGGTCCTTGTCTGATACTCCACCAAGAGTCCTATCAACACTTCCTTGAACAATTTCCTTGGTGTTAAGATTAGAACTTTGCTTAGTAATGTGTAGCTCGACTTTCTTGGCGCCCCTGTAGACGTCCCCGAACGCCCCGGGAGAGACGAGCTCCCGTTCCGTTCGATATTGGGGTCACTACAGCTCAGGACTCTAAAATTTGTCACGGTTCTAAGTCTGAACCAAAGAGTCCAAATCCGGCAAATCGTTTTGAGAAAAACAGATTTTGAAAGAAGTGCCAAACATGGACTGCTTTGCCAGATACAGAGTCGCCACCTAAATATTTTATTTTGGGAAATTTAGGAAACCCTGACTCGGTGCCAAAAGGCCACGTGTCCGTCATCACCAAAGTTGCCTCGGCTCGGGAACTTGGGTACGATTGGAGAAGGTCACTTCGTGAGCACCCCCGCTCGCCCGGTCATAGACCGGCCTCTACTAACCACGATATCAATTTTTGAAAACATTGTGAATTCTTATTCCGGTTATTAGCCTAGGTTACTATATGATGCGCACAGCATACAAGTATAGACTGGATCGCCTGAATTGGAACAAAACATTTCATGCTTGTTTATTTGAAAATGGTTTGATGACTCCCAAGTAGGCTTAAAATGCAGATTTTACCACCCGCAGGTGGGTTTAGAAAAGATGGTTTTGCCACTATCTAGTGGGCTTAAAACAAACAGTCGATGATTTATTCCAATCTAAACAACTCAACCTTCACCCACAGGCATTCAGGCAGATATATCACATAAGCACATAGCCTCATGGTAAGCATGCTATTCATGGCAGTCACTCACACGCATGCGAGGATGCTAAAGCATAGAAATCTGGGGAGAGGGACATTAATGAGAAAATTAGTCCAAAATCCCTCTCTCATTTTTAGTGATAAAAGAAATCAAGCTAATTAGAAATCCATGCATGATCCTAATTATACAGAAGTGCCTAATGCAACACATGCAAAAATGTAACTATAGCAGGCTCGGCTATTCTAAACATGGCATATGAAACGCTACAGCTAACAAGTATTCAACTTTGAAATTGAAATACAAATACAGTTAGTATGATGCGCCGAGCCCGATGCATGCAAAACAAATGAATGATGCAAACATGCTGTCATACTGTATGCTAATTGAAATATGCCCTAATCTAACCATCATAAGCGGGTAAATAAAAGGGAGAAAGATGTGGGGTTGGAAGACATACAACACACACACGCACACTTATTACAGTTGTGCCCTCGCACAGAGGATCCGAACGAATATACAGTCCCAAATAATACAGTCCAAATAA